ATGCAAGACTACTACCATTTATTGATTTCCAGCACGTAAATGTTCACACTAAAAGTTTCATGACTCTTACGAGCCAGTATATGTTGTCTCTAGCATACTCCTGACCCTAGCTTATTTTGTTGTATGTTTCCTTGAAGAGATCTTTTGCTCCTGTTCTTCTTTGGAGTTCCTCAAAGGTTGTATGTTACAGCCTGCTCACACACACACCACCAACCTTTCCATTGTGTGATGTTCATCTTTATTTCTTCAGAAGCATGTATATTCCAGATTTGCTGCCATGGGGTAACACTGGTAAAAAGTTTATAATGAAAATATGACTCTTTGCTGTTACAGGAAACTTAGGGTCATTAAAAGTGCTTTGTGATTTCCTGAAAACTGTCCAACTCACTATTCTCCTTTTCAACACTGGACCCAGTTCATTGCCCATCCATATTATCTATGTCAGATGTACATTCTGTTGGACAAGTTCAAGAGGGTGTCCATTCAGATATGTGTTGAAATCTGAGCAATAGGCATCTTTCATCCATTTGGTATTTCCTGTGTTGATGGAGAGGCCAAACTCCTTGGTGTGATTACAGATCTCTTTCAGTAGGCTCTACAATGTGTTGAGACTTTCACCACAATGTCATCCAAAAACAAAAACATCTGGAAGATTTAACCACATATTTAAATTTAACTGTTAAAATGAACACAATATTTGGAAGAAATGAAAAAAAATTAAACCTTTAATTTTAAGTGGATTTGAATTCAATTCAACAAACATTTGAGTTCCTACTGTGTGCAGGACTTAAACCTGGTTCTTCCTGATACCAAGACTAGCTCTGTATACTTTTCCATTATACCTCTCACTCTGGACAAGTAACCCCAAACTATACAAGCCAGTGTAGATCATTTAGTCTTTAACCAACTCTCTAAGGCTATAAATTGCAGAGCAAGTACTAATCTTCATTAATAGAGGGAGTTTCTCACACAGAGCTCTCTATACTGATGAAATCCAGGTCATGCAATTATAACACAAACTCATCATGCTATATACTTCACCATGGTACTAAGAAGTTGTCCCTCTCCCTCTGAGTCATAGCACCTGTGCTGGGATCAGCTTCTGGAAGCTTTTGGATCTGACTCTCTCTCCTTCCTTTTGGAAGCTCCCAGGTAATTTGCATAACCAAACCCAGATGCCATGGAGTCAGTCAGCCAATAAACATTTATTAAAAACCTATTATGTGCCAGACCCTGTGCTAAGTACTGGGGGATACAGTGGAAGGAGAAAGATAGGCTTTGCTGTCAAGGAGCTCCCAGTCTATGGGGCAGATAACATAACAACTTTGTACAAGCAAGCTATATACAGAATAAATTGGAGATAATCAATGGCAATAAAGGGACTGGGGAAAGGTTTCTTGTAGAAGGTAGCATTTTAGCAGAGTGTTGAAGGAAGACAGGAAATCTTGGAGGCAGAGATGAAGAAGGAGAGAATTCCAAGCAGGGGACCACCAGTGAAAATGCCTGGAACTGGGAGATGGAGTATCTTCTGAGGGGACCAGCAAAGGAGGTCAATGTCACTGGCTCAAAGAATACATGACTGGGGTTGGGGAAGTAGGGAGGAAAGTAAGGCATAAGAAGGAAGGTGGAAGAAGATGAGAGAAAAGAAGGTAATTAAATGAGACTGAGTTCCTCTCTCAAGCCCAAAAGACTCAATGGGAGGTATTGGCATAAGTGGGAAGCACAGCATCTAGATTCTGGGAAAAGGAAGGAGTTAATGGCTGTGGAGTCACCATGAACTGTCCCAGAGTTAAAAACAGAGAACCATTTGAAAGCAATCTTCCCACAGTTACTAGAAGAGCCATTTTGTATAAAGGTTGTAAGAACCTTGGGTGTCAAGCAACAGAAAGTTAAAATAGCTTACATCCTAGAGGTATTCTAGCTCCAGAGTCATGAAAGATATGTCACTGTCGAGCGATGCTCCAGTGTATTTGCTCCATATTCTAGTTGTCCCAAAAGTAGTGATGAAGCAATTAACACTATCCTTTAAGAGGCAAGCCAAATAGTAGCATACAGTTCCATCTAATCTGGACTTAGAAACTGTTTTTTTTTTTTGGAATGCCTGCACTGATATATATTATGTAGTTATGTATTTTGAAACAGAAACATCATTGACCAAAAGCAATATGAAGTCCTTGCCTAAAATCAATAAGATTTGTTTACATTTTTATAATAAAATTCTGTTACATAATAAAAGCATACATGTCTTCAGTCCATTTTGAGCTTGTCTGCTTCAGGCTCAGTGCTATCTGTATTGAAATATTTCCAGCAGATGAGATGTTTGAATTTTTGAATTGTACTTACCTTCTTGTGGTACAAGAATATGAAGAGGATCCTCCATTTTGGGGGCAGCTAGATGGCGCAGTACACTTACTAGCTGTTTGACCCTGGGCAAGTCACTTAACCCCCATTGCCTCACCAAAAAGCAAAAAAAAAAAAAAAAGAATATGAAGAGGTATGACTCTTTCCTCTGGCCTCCATGTCACACTGATTTGAGTAGAACTGGCCTGCAATGCTATACTGCCCTATTTATTTTTTGGATTCATATGAGTAGTTACCTCACACTGGATAAGGTTCTAACCTAATCAGTGGTGTCACCAGAGGGCAATATTTTAGGCCAGGCCTTCACAACTACCATTGGGGTCTCAGAATACACAATAATCCTGATGTCTATTACTATGGCTGGCATTCCTTGAGTTTGCTGTTGCCCCACCGCCCAACTCCATGACACAAATGATAAATTAGTTGTTGTCATCATCATCATTGTCTTCATCATCATCATCATCATCTTCTTCTTTTCCTCTTCCTCCTCCTCCTCTTCCTCCTTTTCTTCATCTTACATTTCTATATAATTCTCACAAGTTACCATATTAATATAAGTACATCCACATGACAACCATTTATAGAATTTTTTTATTGACATATAATAGTGGTTAAATTCAAGTAGATATCACCCAAGGACGGCCTTTTGATTATACTCTTGGATCTTAACTATTTCATAGCCTCCAAGCAGAAGCAAAAGATTGATTCTGTTCTATAGAGTGGCATAAGCCATTGTCAATCCTCATTTCTTCTTTTTTTTCTTCTTTTTCCTCTTCTCCTTTCTTTTCTTCTTCTTCCTCTTCCTCTATACTTACATAGTGCCTTAAAGTTTGCAAAACAGTTTATAGATCATAATTACCTTTTATTGGCTTCCATAATAAACTTTGTTCATATTGAACTTTCAGTCTACTAATACACTAATTTCTTTTTCAGATGAACTGCTGTGGAATCATGCCTATCCCATATTATAATCATGATTTTTTTGAACCTCAAGGGTAAGATTTTACACTTTTTCCTGTTTATATTCATCTTATTTGATTTGGCCTAATCTTCCTATCTGTTGAAATCTATTTTTGGATTCTGATTCTATCATCCAACACATTAACTTGTCATTCTTACTTTTCATCACCTAGCAAATTTAGTTATTCATGCCTTTATCTAAGCCATCAATAAAAATACAGCAATTCTCCCATTCCTCATGATCTTTCTTTTAAATATCGCTGATACTCACATTGGTTCAGCAAGCACATCTACCAGTTCTTACCTGGTCCTTCACCCTCACTTTCATTTTCTCTTTCTCTTTCTCAAGTATACCTCAGCAGGTTCCCAACCCTGCCTGTAATTTATACCTCTTATACAATGTATATGGAAGCAGCTTAGGTGTTTTTGAGACATTCTGAAAAGCTTTACTGACACTGCCTAAGTGCCGTGTGATGCAATGAAGTGTTATGAATAACCAAAGCCTTGGCCTTAAGTTAGTAGATAAGAAAGGTGGGCAGAACTAAATCCATTTGAGTAACTTTTTATAATTACTAACCAAAATGTTTTGTATCCTCTTTTCAACATAAAAATAAGAGTTCCATTTTGTTTCCCAGTTCATTTTCAGGCTTTGATTATGGTACACATGAAGTAACTATAATAGAAAACAGAGACTGGATTCTTCAAAATTTTCTCATTTAAATATCTTTCTAACATTCTTAGTATTCAGTTTATACAAAGATTTATATGCTTATATGCAGGAACTCAGTTCCATATGTTCTTTTGCAAATCACTAAATAGACATTTGTAAGTATGAATGCTTAAAAACTATCTAAGAACTTAAGCATGGCCTTTCATTTGGTCCCCTACATGTGTTTATAGTGCTATGACTGAAATGTAAATAAAAGAAAGAAAACAGGCAGTTTTCTCATTTATAGAGGGTTATTTACCCACACAACTTAAAGAGAATGTAAAACCTTCATCACATTGGGTAGAACCTCTGTGGCAAATATCTGGGAGTACGTGGATGAAAGTCATTAAAGACATTCAGGAATGGATGGGTTGCGATTATGTGTTGTTGTTATTAATAAGCTCACAAATCCATTAGAATACTGAAATGTTTTCCAGAAAAGGCATCCCTGGCACAGGACCTATCACACAGATACTCAGGAAATGTCTGTTGAATTCAATTGAATTGCATCTTTCCCCAAAGAAATGTCACACAAAAAGGAACTAGGTTCCTTACTAAGGGCCTGAAGTTCAACTTTATTTTGTAAAAGGTTACCATATTTAAATAACTCTAAGCAAGTTCTGGATAGTACAAAAATTTCCAAAGTATAATGTTTAATAGAGCACTGCTGTAGAAATCCATAACATCTTATTAATATGGTACTATATAAAGCTCATTATATATTGTGATCTTGTTTGTAATCTCAACCTGGTTTTCATTACAGGAAACTAAGAACACTTTAAATGGTATTGTAAGTTTCAGAATGCCTTCTCCTCCTCCTTCTCCTCTTTCTTTTTCTTCTTCTTCTTCTTTCTTCTTCTTCTTCTTCTTCTTCTTCTTCTTCTTCTTCTTCTTCTT